TGTTTCCTCAGTGTTACTTCTCTATTACTAGCCTTGGAGAAGCTATGGAGTCCAGCCCAAGTCTGGGTTCCCAGCTTGTGCAGAGCCTGGCATATTTTGCATCTATTAGTACACTGTCCTTTGTGCAATCTGCTCCATTCTGTGCAACTCTTTGCTACCCAGGGAGAAATTCTTTGTGTAAGATGGAGGGATGCCTTTAGCAAACCTTGGCCACATGTTAAAATTAGAGGTGAGGCCAAACTGCAACAGAAGACCCAAACCACCTTGAATGTTGATGAAACTCATATTTGTATCTTAATATGAGTGTAGAAGTTCTGGCCCATCTTTATGAAAAGAACCTGAACCAGAATAGAAGATCAGATCTCCTTAAACTTTGGGGAATTTAGGGTGTCAGTTTTTCAGTGCAGACCAATCTCTTGGGATAATTTCAGTCACTCCTTGACTTGACAACATAAGTGATAATAATTTCAACGGGAATTACGCACACACATTGGAGCGAAGAATGGAGTGAGGCTAATTATGGCCTAAATTTTAAAAAATGAAAAATGCAGGAGAAGCAACCCTGGAATGGGTGAGGAAGCCAAATCAGATGCTGGGAAAGACAGCCCCATTACCAAGAGTTTGGGGGAATCTTTGGAATGCAAGGTCCAGACTGCCTGATTTGTTCACCTGGTCTGAGTCCTGTAAAGAACATACCCCAGAGAACTGCATTACCTTAGAGTAGGGCAAATAACATCTAACCCTCCAGATTATTATCACAACTACCATGCCAACTGATACAGAGTTTCTGAGTTAACACAATGTTTCCACTCTTTCGGCTCAATAGCAGAGTGGGTGTATGGAAATGTCATCATTTTGGCAATCAATCAAACTATTAACGTCTCTGCTGAAAGGCCAAACAGATTCTGTTATGCTGAACAAATAGCTGCTCCGGCCGAGGCTGCAAATGAGATGGAAAATGCAGCTCCTGCTGCAGTCTTAAGAAAAGAATTCCTCGCCCCCCCCCCCCCCCCCAAACCAGTCAGGGTGTGGTTTAGTTTTCAGTCTTCATTATTGAGATGTGGATTTGTAAAAGAAGACGAGACATTAAAAATAGCACTTTCAAAAGGTTTTGTTGAGAGAGAGGATAATAAAACAAAAATAATAGTTTGTCCAAGCTCAGTTTTCCTCAGGGGCACCCTCAATGCCACTTTTGTTGTGGATAAGGAGCGACTGCTTTTCTTGGGACATTTGTGTGAGTCTGGGGGTGCACAATGGGGTATTTGTGCCAGCTTCAGTTATGCAATGTCTTACTTACACCAACCTGGGGTGCAAAGAGGAGTAATATTTTGTATTTGTAGTGGCATCCCCAATACTACGCAAATGCACAAAGCGACCTCTTTATTAATTATTATTATTTATTTGTATTACAATAGCATCTCAAAGCTCCAATCTGGGGTCAAGGACCCATTGGTCTGAGGACAGCACACACATGCAATAAAAAAGACAGTCCCATCTCCAAAGAGCTTATAATTTCAGCATATGATGAGAGGCAATAATTGGATACAACAAATGAATGGCAGTGGGAGAAGACACAGTAATAATGACATGATCACGTTTAGTATAACAAGCAGCAGTCACAGCATATCAACTACCTGGCTATTTTTGAGTGCCACTGTGCTGCGGTAGCCAGCAAGGGTGCCAGTTGCTGCCACGTGTGATGAAGTTTGCTTGTGATGTAGGCACCTGTGTACTAAGGATGTGAATGAGACCACCAAACTCATTTCACAAGGATTTCCATCCCTGCTAATCTGAGGTGGATTTGAACCAGTGACCAAGAGGTGAAAGAATCTCCCCTCTCCAGTTTTCTGATGAATTCATCCTCCTCATGATGTTATTTCCAAGGAACCATTTACACCTTGTCTCTTCACAACAAGTGGGATAGTTAACGAATAGAAACAATCAAGATTAATCTGAAAAAAAACAAACTTGCTGATCATTTCTATGGACAACAGTCATCCAGAGTCTTTGTGCTCTTTCAGCAACTGTGTATTTTTGGGACGATGGAGGGGCATATTTCCAGCATGGAAACATGACCTAACTAAAGTTGTACAGGCGGAACCTTATCTTAAAAATGGCGTCTGACTGGGATGAAGAAACTGGAAGTGTAGACACTGTGACTGGTTAGGAGAGGAGTGCACAGCCAATATTCATTGTGGTATTTTCTAACTTTTGAGTGCCTGGCTTTGCAACCTTAACGTTCTTTCAACATGAGTAACATTGGTTTTGTGTGTGTAATAATATTAAAATGAAATACGGCGAACAAAATAAACCCACTTGAAGCAGAAGCTTCTGAGCACCCCACAGATGAACCCCAGCTGCAAGGTTCAAGACCAAAGTTTGAGGTTGTTTGACTCCTGACGTTTGGCTCATCAAGGAAATGGAAAGGGTGCAGGGAGAAAGAGTTGTGAAATATGGATCTGGAGTCCTTCAGAGTTTGAGGTGTTCAAATGCAAGGGACTGGCATGGCTCCAACTCTCCTTTTACATTTAAAATTCTTCCTTTATTTCCCTAAATTTAAAAAAATTAATATAATAAAGCGCAAAGGGAAACAACTATGCTGCTTCCTCCAGGAGTGAATGAAGGAATGGCAAGGAAGAGAATGAAATCCCTAGCTGAAGCTCATTTAGGGGGGAGGGATAGCTCAGTGGTTTGAGCATTAGCCTGCTAAACCCAGGGCTGTGAGTTCAATCCTTGAGGGGGCCACTTAGGAATCTGGGGCAAAATCAGTATTTGGTCCTGCTAGTGAAGGCAGGGGGCTGGACTCAATGACCTTTCAAAGTCCCTTCCAGTTCTATGAAATAGGATATCTCCATAAATTTACATTTAGTGAAACATTGAGTTACAGACCCAAACACTTACACCGAAAGCAAAACACCAACTGTTCCGCATGAAATTGATGACTAACAAGAACACAGATAATCACCCAGCATAGTAACATAGCTATCACAGGTATCCTTTCTCTGCTCTAATGAGGCTAACTGGCTGATCTAAGCCATATGTTTTAATCATCATGAAAACTGGGCTGATTTCCCTCCTGTCTTAAAACAGCATTTCAATATTGGCTAACAAACCTACAGCTAATGCTACCCAGTTTCTGCAATACACATTGGCTGTGTGGAAACTATACTACTTCCCCCAAGGGATAGAAGTGAGTGGTTTACATTTTGGGGTCAGACCAGGAAAGCCCTCTTTGTTTTCATTCACTTGTACATTCAAGCCAACTTTGTGGCGCTAAGTAGATAAAATTAGTGTCAAAGCTGAGTTTTCCCGTAACTAGCCTACGAGCTGTAATTTTTATGGGAGTTCTTTCTATTATGGATTACCAGCAGTTTAGGATTCTTTCCAGCTGGAACGGAGCGGTACGCAGTCTCTCACATGAATGTTTCTAAGATAAAACCTTCTAAGCAGAGGCATAAAACAAAAGCCCCATCTCCTGGATATAGCTGTCAGCTTGGAAGTGAGAGCAAAAAGACATTTCCTGTTCTTTCCAAATGGTTTTCCCAGGCAGTAAATGCTCTTATAACTTGCACACCACCCCAGAATCAAACACCCTGTAAGATTTGGTGCTATCTAGCTTTCAGTTGAGGTGAACTTTAGCATGACTCCAGCCAGTGGGAAGCTCCCCTTTGGCTTACCTCACAGAATTGTTCCCTCCAGATCATGAAGCTCCTCATGCAAGTCCCAGCTGCAGTAGCACGGAGGCTACACACCCACTAGCCATGTCTAGCTAAGGAATTCTATAAAAAAATGTGCTACCACCAGTTTGGCTAAACTGGGGTTAGTACTGCTGCGAGCGCCCGTGTAGACAAAATTGGCAGCAGGTGCTGTTTTTACCAACTTGTCCAAGGGATGAGAGACTCCACTAACTGGTGAAGTCTCTTTTAATGACTGGCTGCCAGTTGGCAGGCTCAGTAATCTCCAGTTGGTTTTCTAAAAAGCAATTGTCTGCAAGGTGTCCATCATACTGGAGACCGCTGTCCTGCTACCCAAGCTTGGGCAGGCTTTTCAGCTTTGGCAACTGGCCCGAGAGAGGCACAAGGAGGAGGCAGAAATGCCCTGTTGACTTCCTATTTTCCTTATTTTGTTCTTTGTGAAAGACACTCCCCACTGTTAAGGATTGGGGAATTTTCCAAGGACACCCCAGTGCTATCTTTTGCATTGTCACAGAGTTTATTCCTCAGCAGTGGCGGCCGGTAAACTCTGTTCATTTGCTATCCCCTCCTGCCTCCCAAACACAGCCATGCAAGACTTTGGAATGAGATCTAGTAAGCTGTGGCACAGTCTCTAGGGCAGCAATGTGGATTGGGACACTTAGAACCAGTATGGACAAAACATTAGAGGACCTAGGAAACAGGCCTGCATGGGCCAGGAGATGAACAGGATGATTTATTAGGTCTTTTCTGTCCCTAATTTCTATGATTCCGTGAGCAAACCTCAAGCACTGCCTACCCTGCCTGCTCTCCACTAGCTGTCTTTGGCTTGGGTGTGTACCCCAAAGAGAAAACACAACTTAATGGGAGCAAAATGAATCCACTCAAACAAGAACCAAAAGCTAGTTTGCATGGACCCTGAGTCTTCTTCACCTACATTTCTTTCCCCAAGATAGAATTCTCATCTCTCTATCTCAATCACAATCTCCTTCTCTGACTCACTCTCCTTCTCTCTTCTACCTATGCAATGTTATTCTCTAAAGAAAAATACTCTCCACAAATAAAAGCCTGGTGAGGTTTGTTACCCATAGTTCTTTCTTATGGATGAGAAACTCCAGACGTTTGGCACACACAGAAAGAGTAGTTTATCAGAAGACAGATTTCTTTGCAATGCCTCAGCGAGCACCTCCCCACTGTAAGCCACTCCTAATAGAATTCACCTCAGTCTCTTCAATGCTTTTTCTGTCTCCTAAATTACAGCTAAGTAAGAGGGCAATTAGGTTTCAACAATTAAAATGATTTACTTACCACATGTAACAGCCGGAGCATCTCCACATATCTGCAGAAAGAGACAGAATTATATTAATTGCCATCAAGCTAGCGCTGAATGAATCAGGGTGGAATGTGCAGCTTCATTTGCAAGAGAACAGCCAGATTTTAACAGAGAACTCACACTTTCTCCGAAGACACCAGCTCCTGGGCTATGAGGTAAGCTCTGGACTGTCCTTCTTTCTGTTGAAAAGGAAACCACAGGTGTTAAGAAATCTCCCATCCCAAAACAGAAAGGGCTGGAGAATGCCCTCAATCTACATGATCCTTGAATCTGAATCACAGCATCTTAGGGTTGGAATGGACCTCATCTAGTCCAACCCCCTGCTCAAAGCAAGACTAATCCCCAGACAGATTTTTGCCCTAGATCCCTAAATGGCCCCCTCAAGGATTGAACTCACAACTCTGGGTTTAGCAGGCCAATGCTCAAACCCCCTTGAGTCTTTCTATTCAGAGTTTGTACACTGCCTAGCAGAATGGGGTCCTGATCCACAACTGCAGCTCTGCTACAATACAAATAAATAAATCCAAAATATACAGCCTGAAATGGGGTCATGCTCTCAAGATTCAAGAAGTTGTTTTGGTGGCTATGGACTGACTCCTGACCTTACTGAAGTCAGAGAGAAAATTCCCATTGATTTCAATAGGGCAAAAATTCATCAGAAAGAAAGGCCGACAGATTCTAAGGCTAGGTCTACACTACCCGCCTGAATCGGTGGGTAGAAATCAACCTCTCGTGGATCGATTTATCGCGTCCTGTCGGGACGCGACAATCGATCCCCGAATCGACGCTCTTACTCCACCAGCGAAGGTGGGAGTAAGCGCCGTCGACGGGAAGCCGCAGAGGTCGATTTTGCCACCGTCCCTACAGCGGGGTAAGTCGGCTGCGATACGTCGAATTCAGCTACGCTATTCGCGTAGCTGAATTTGTGTATCTTAAATCAACCCCCCCTGTAGTGAAGACGTAGCCTAACTCTAGAAGGGTAATTTCATGACTGCAGGAGGCAAAGCTGATCCAGTTTGTTCAGGCCACTCATGGGCAAGGAAAAGTTTTTTGTTTTTTAAATAGTTATATTCCAAACTGTTCCCACTGCAGTGCAAGCTACAGAAGCAAACAAGTTCAAAGGGCTTTCTTGCGTGCTAAGCACATTTGATGAAATTAAACTGTGGTAACTATATCCTGAAAGCAAACAGTGCAATGTGAAAGCAAATAACATCATTTTGAGATCTCAGAGGACACAGAAACCTGCCAAAGAAGCAATGGCAGTGGTTCTTCAAGGCTCAAGAGGCTAATTATGATGCTTTGCTCTGGTTTCACGAATCATTTGTTTTTAATCTATTTACTTATTTAGTCTATTTATTTATTTAGGATGTTTTTAACAGGTTTACAAATCATTGCCGTATAAATATCAGAGACAAAATGCTAATCATTACAAGAATGAGCTTTTGTTTAGAGAAACATTATATAGTGATATAATCAGCAGATCCCTCTATTTAACAGGTTGTTACCATATTACAGAGTGAGCCTCTTTACCAAGGTAAGAAATGGACAAAGCGTTGAAACCTTTATTGAGAAAGAAATCTTATACTAAAGTAAGTTTGACTTATACAGCAGCGATAATAAAGCAAGGAAACAGCTGTCAATGAACAAGAGGCCATGCAACATGCCGTTTATTCTTAACAAGCAGGAGGCAGCATCAAGTGTATTGTTTAAAGGGACCAGGTGTGTCATTAATCCATTGCTTAAAGAGCCTCCTTTAGAAGGTGTACAATCAAGCAGCTGGGAGATGCTGAGCTGTCATGCACTAAGCTGGTTATTGTAATTCAGGTGGCAGCCTGAAATGGTGTCCTTTATCACCACCAATTCTGGATGAGAATTGCTTGGGTTGTTAGGGATCATGGTGAAATCATTTAATTCAGCCCCTCAATGAAGAGCATTTGTAGGGCCCCGGACCAAAATCCCAGATTCAAACTCCATCAACCTTTGCTAAAGTTTAGAGCACATTCAAGCTTGGCAGTTCATCTCCAGTGTTTAAACACTAGTAACAGAAATCTGAACAGTAATTCTCCAAGCCTTTTGCATCTCTGGACAAGTAATCTTGTGACATCAGTTTTTTTTTACCCAATGTTTCTGCTCCTTCCTGCTTCCCCTCAGGCTGGAAATAAGAAAGGCTGAAAACAGTTTAGGGAAGATTTAAGCATTCCCTGGAAGTGCTGGAAACTGAAATCCAGCAGCATGATAGCTGGACCATGAAAACCCAGATGCAAAATTGACTGAAATGAAACCAACCAATCTTGTTTCCATGTCCATCATTACTAAATCACAAAAAGAAAATAATTGGAATAAATAATGAAAAGCAAAGTTACATTTTAAAAATTCTTTCAGTTTTAAGGTGCTGTTCCCTACACAAGTAAGGATTTTTTTAAAAAAAGTAGTACATTTTATATTGTCAGTGCACCTTTAACATAAAAATGTTCAGCAGCAACAAATGAGTCCTAAAACTGTCTGTAACAGAGCAGCAGAGGGTTATTCAAAACACGCTGCAAATAAATCTCTTTTTACTGTACAAATGAGTGAAGGAAAGGAATGACTTTCCACCAGGAAAGTAATCAGGAACCCCATTCTGTTAGGTCATGGGTTCTCAACCTGGGGGTTGAGAAGATTTAGAGACTCAAAGAAATTAGTGATCTAATCATTCGTTAGATTCAGTCATCTAATCCATCTCTCTGCCAATACAAGATTGTTGCCTACAGTATGTTACCCAGTGCTTTGTTGATTCTTGTTTAAATGGTCCAAAGAGTGGTGCTTCTCCCATTTTTCTTTGGGACACTGTTCTACTACAGTTGAACAGATCTAGTATAAGGATTTTTTCCTGAAAGTCATCTTTTCCCTTTGTTAATTTCATTCCACTATTTGTAGTATACTCCTTGTACTACACTATATATTTGTGTTTACACTTTACAATCATTCCTAAAGGGTTACCCTGTTTCTCTCGTTTTGTCACCAGTGACGATACATGGCACACACTAGTGTCGGCACACAGGAGCTACCACATGTCGCTGGTCAGCATCAGGATATTCTGGGTTCTTTTTCTTCCTTGCCCTTTTGACTTGCAGACATAAATCAATTGAATGGGAATTTTATTTCTGGATTACCAAACCTAATACTGGCCAGTTTGCACGTCCTCTATTGACAGGCTTGACCAAGAAGCGAAGTATATTTCACCATTGGTGTGGACCCATTCACCTTTTATGTATACAGATTGTCGCGGTCTGTAATTCTACTTGTGATTAATATGTCTTAGTCGAGAGACAAAACACTGGGACCCCTGGTGTCACATGACCAGTCTAGGGCGAGTTTTGAGACAGTGTCTCTAGGCGTTGCCCGTCTTGTGTTATTTAATTACTGTTTGCTTAACCAGGAAATGAACTCTGAGATTGACGACAGTGTCCGGAGACGGACTTCTGGGAATAGCGGGAGGTAGCGGGTGTGGGTCCCTCAACTATCAACTTTCTAAAACAAAGCCCAAGTGATTATTAAAACATGACTGAGCTACCACATTTGTAGTGATCTTTACTGTGTACTCTTCAGCCCAGCAGTAAGCACTCTTGTACGCTTCCTCCCCAGGCTGCTGCTTCAGTAGCTGTGTACTCCAATTCCTGCTATTTGTCTGTACTCAGCAGATGGAAGAGATGGATCTAGACAGAGGATTCTGGCTCTGTGCCTAACTGAGTCTTGTTGTCCTTATTAGCTTCATCTGCCCCACAATCTAAAATATATGCTATATACAAGCAAAATGGTCCCTCAGATTGCCTGCCCTCAACAGCCAATGGAGTTTTCATCTGATAATGAAGCTGCTCCTAGATCAGGATACCAGGTAGAACTTCCTGACAGTGAGATCTCTGACTTTGGGTAATGGTCTCTTGAGGGATGTGGTGGAAGCCTCATTGCTAGGTCATTTAAAACTGGACTGAACAGAGCACTGGAGAATATGCTGGGGACCACTGACTAGACAAACTTCTCTAAAGGCCTTTTCCATCTCTAAATACTATGAACTCTTATTGGTCTGGGGAGGGCCATGTAGTGCCCTGTTTGTTAAGCATGTGATTTCCATGCTGCTTCCAACTCCCATTGGCCTATGGGAAGAAAACCAGACTCTCTGGATTTGAACCATCTCTTGAGAGAGAGTGCAAAGCAGGAAATCTCATCATCAAGCTGTCTTGCACGTTTTCCTAGACCAGGGATCGGCAACCTTTCAGAAGTGGTGTGCCGAGTCTTCATTTATTCACTCTAATTTAAGGTTTCGCGTGCCAGTAATACATTTTAACATTTTTAGAAGGTCTCTTTCTATAAGTCTATAATATATAACTAAACTATTGTTGTATGTAAAGTAAATAAGATTTTTAAAATGTTTAAGAAGCTTCATTTAAAATTAAATTAAAATGCAGAGCCCCCCAGACTGGTGGCCAGGACCCGGGCAGTGTGAGTGCCACTGAAAATCAGCTCGTGTGCCATAGGTTGCCTACCCCTGTCCTAGACAAAACTGATATCCAACACCTACCCAAAGAATATGCTTTTGTGACTCTTCCAAAATTGTACCCAAGTAGTCGGCCACATTAGTCCTCATTCAATGGCAGTCTCTAGTTTGCATATCAAATACTGTGCTTTAACTATCATATATGGATACTAACAGCTGATTGCAAGTCACTTGACATAACCTATTCCTGTTCATAGATGGCGTAATAGACAGAAGGGGCAGATGTGGTGCCTCAAATGACCAGAAGCATCTAATTAACACACACAGACTCTGTATTAGGATAAAGAATCAGCAGATTAATTGGTTACACACTCTGCATGGTGGGATATCAACCTGAAACTTAGGGCCCAGTCTTCTGCCAGAGCAGTCAATGGAAGCAGGATGGGAACCTAAAACTCGAATGGCCTTGATTTTGCAAGCCTTTTGCATACAGAACTCCCACCGACTTCAGTAAGACACAGAGCTTTGTGTAACTGAGAGCTCACTGTACCAGACTTGGGAATGTTGAGTTTGCTCAGCCTAGTCATTGTCCTTCATTTAGAAAAGTATAAAGCCACATCAGTGGATTATTTCTTAAAGATTGAAGGTCTTGCTGGACAGGAAAAAGACTACTTGACCCAGAAAGCAGCTAGCTCTGGTGTATCT